GCTGCGCAGGAAGTCCTGCTTCTCCTCAAGGCCTTCCCGTAGGTTCCCACACACAGGTGCTCCCCGGCCTGCCCGCCTCAGTTTACCCTGTGCCAGAGGCCGCTCTGCTCTAAGGGTGCCCTCCCCTCTACTCGGTGCCCCCAGCCCCGGCGGCCCCTCCCCGTCCCTCCCCGTCCCCTCCCGTGTCCCTCCCCGTGCTCCCTCCCCGTTCCCCTCCCCGTCCCCTCCCCGTGCCCTCCCCCTGCTCCCTCCCCGTCCCCTCCCCGTGCTCCCTCCCCGTGCTCCCTCCCCGTGCCCTCCCCGTCCCCTCCCCCTGCTCCCTCCCCGTGCTCCCTCCACGTGCGCCCTCCCCGTGCTCCCTCCCCGTGTTCCCTCCCCGTGCTCCCTCCCCGTGCTCCCTCCCCGTGCTCCCTCCCCGTGCTCCCTCCCCGTGCTCCCTCCCCGTGCCCTCCCCGTGCTCCCTCCCCGTGCCCCCTCCCCGTGCTCCCTCCCCCTGCTCCCTCCCCGTGCGCCCTCCCCGTTGCCCTCCCCGTTGCCCCTCCCCCGTGCTCCCTCCCCGTGTTCCCTCCCTGTGCCCTCCCCGTGCCCCGCCCCGTGCCCTCCCCGTGCCCTCCCCGTGCTCCCTCCCCGTGCCCCTCCCCGTTGCCCCTCCCCGTGCCCCCTCCCCGTCCCCTCCCCGTCCCCTCCCCGTGCTCCCTCCCCGTGCTCCCTCCCCGTCCCCTCCCCGTGCTCCCTCCCCGTGCCCCCTCCCCGTGCTCCCTCCCCGTGCTCCCTTCCCGTGCTCCCTCCCCGTCCCCTCCCCGTGCTCCCTCCCCGTGCTCCCTCCCCGTGCCCTCCCCAGCTGCCGCGGGGATGCTGCTCGGAAAGGCCGGCCGCCGGGCGGGACGCGGGGAGACGTCAGAGCGGGTTGGCGGGGCGGGTGCCGGAGGGCAGGCCTGGCGGCCAGGAGTCGCTGTGGCCTCCAAGAGACAAGATTTCTTTTTTTTTAAATGCGTTTTTATTGATGTCAGAGAGGAAGGAGAGGGAGAGAGAGAGAAACATGAGTGATGAGAGCATCATGGATCAGCTGGGGATCGAGCCCACCCCTGGGCCTGGGCCCTGACGGGAATCGAACACTGACCTCCTGGTTCACAGGTCGATGCTCAACCCCTGAGCCGCGCCAGCCGGCGACAGACAAGAGTTCAACTCGGTCCCAACACCCCCTCCCCGAACCCGGGTCCCCAGGAAGCAAGGCCACCTTCCGGGGCCTCGGAGGGCGGGCGGCTCAGGGGCCGGCCCTCTGCTCCCCGGGTCTGCCCTGGCCCGGCTCCCCGGCTCCTGGCGGCGGGGTGGGGAGGGGAGGGGCTGGCGCAGCGGGGGAGGCGCCGTGCTGCCCGCCGGCAGAGCCGGACTCAGTGGTGCTGGGGGAGGGTCTGGCAGAATCAGGCCTGGAGTCCCGACGAGGGAATCTAGGCTCAGAGAGACCCCCCCACGGCCGGGCCTGGGGTCTCGGAGGGGCCTGGGCTCAGGGCCTTGGCCTGGAGGGGCAGGTGGCCGGGCCGCTGTGGGCCCGTCTCGGCCTCTGCCCGGGCCTGGCCGGGAGCCGCAGCCCCGCCCCAGCAGGTGAAGCAGCGGCAGCTGGCCAGCGAGGTCGGAGGTCGCCTGCTGGAGGGCTCGCTTGTCGCCAGGCGGGCGGGCTGTTGCCGAGGCTGCACTGCCCAGGGGCCTGGCAGGGCGGGGGGTCTGGCGGGGCGGGGGGGCTGGCGGGGCGGGGGGGCTGGCAGGGCGGCGGGGGGCCTGGCAGGGCGGGGGGGCTGGCGGGGCGGGGGGGCCTGGCAGGGAGTTGGGGGGTGCTGGAAGGGCCGGGGAGGGGGGCTGGAAGGATGGGGGGGCTGGCAGGGCGGGGGGGCCTGGCAGGGCGGGGGGGCCTGGCAGGGTGGGGGGCCTGGCAGGGAGTTGGGGGTTGCTGGAAGGGCCGGGGAGGGAGGCTAGAAGGATGGGGGGGCTGGCAGGGCGGGGGGGCCTGGCAGGGCGGGGGGGCCTGGCAGGGAGTTGGGGGGCTGGCAGGGCGGGGGGGCCTGGCAGGGAGTTGGGGGTGCTGGAAGGGCCGGGGAGGGGGGCTGGAAGGATGGGGGTGGAAGGGCGGGCGTCTGGTCCAGGCTCAGAGGGAGTGGCGCTCGGTCCCGCCGCCCAGCTGGGCGGATGCCTGGTGCGCTGGCTCCCGGTACCGCTGGGCTGAGAGGTGCCGTGGGCTCCAGGTGCAGCGGGCCGGGAGGTGGTGTGGGGAGCCAGGAAGGGTCCGGCCGGGACGGCCCACGGGACCGTGTGTGACTCGGCGCTGGCAGCTCCGGCCTGACGGCACAGGAGATGCTGTGGGCCGGCCTGGCTGGGCGCTGGGCGCGGGCAGCCCCAGGGCTCAGAGGGGATGGGAGGCCACGCGGAGGGTCGGCAGGCCAGGCGGGTGCAGGGAACAGTGGCGCCCGGACGCCTCTGAGGCCCCCTGGGTGCCCAGGCGCTGAGTTCACACCCTCCTGCCCCAGCCCTCCCCCCCCGGGGGCACTGGTCCTGCCCCCTCACGCACAGGGCTTCCCTCCTGTCCTGGCCACGCCGGTGCCCGTGGTGCCACCTGCCCGCCGGCCGGGAGGGCACACGTGGCGGGATGTGCAGAGGCGGAGGGTGCCCGGACGCGCTCGCCGAGAGCCCAATTTGGAGACAAAGGCCGGGCGCGCGGACCAGCGCTGTGGACGCTGCGCGTGAGCAGCCGGCGGCCGCGGAGCCACAGAGGGCGGGCAGGGCCCTGGCGGCGGGCCCACACGCCACGGTTGTCCGGGCGACGGCCTCTCCGGAGAGGTCCGCGGGCCATTGTGCAGCACAGGCCGTGTCACACCCCAGACGGCCACGGGCTGTCCCCGCCGAAGTCAGCGGCCGGCCGGGTGAAGGAATGCGGGCGAGGCGGGCGCCGGGGCCATCTGTGCTCAGGCGCCCGCTCCCGGGCGTTAACGAGCTGACTCCGTCGTTGGGCTTTATTTCAGGTGGATGCTTTCACACCCGGAGGCCGGCCGGGAGCACGGCCCTCGGTGGGCAGACGGGCCGGGCGGGGGCGGCCGGGGCCCGAGGCGGCGGGTCCGGGGCTGCCGTCCACCTGGCCCGGGCTCCGAGGGCCCTGCTCCCAGCCGGCCGCTTCCTGGGGTTTCCGCAAATGTTTACCAACACGGAAACGCGAGCCTGCCTTCCAGCAATTGTGTCCGCCCCTCCCCCAGCGGGCCCCTGCCCCGCACCGCCTGCCTCAGTCCCACGGTGGGTGCCAGGCCGGGCCAGATGCCCACAGGGGGAGGGCCCAGATGCCCACAGGGGGAGGGCCCAGATGCCCACAGGGGGAGGGCCCAGATGCCCACAGGGGGAGGGGCCAGATGCCCATAGGGGGAGGGCCCAGATGCCCACAGTGGGAGGGCCCAGATGCCCACAGGGGGAGGGCCCAGATGCCCACAGTGGGAGGGCCCAGATGCCCACAGGGGGAGGGCCCAGATGCCACAGGGGGAGGGCCCAGATGCCACAGGGGGAGGGCCCAGATGCCCACAGTGGGAGGGGCCAGATGCCCACAGGGGGAGGGCCCAGATGCCCACAGGGGGAGGGGCCAGATGCCCATAGGGGGAGGGCCCAGATGCCCACAGGGGGAGGGCCCAGATGCCACAGGGGGAGGGCCCAGATGCCCACAGTGGGAGGGGCCAGATGCCCGCAGTGGGAGGTGCCCAGATGCCCACAGGGGGAGGGCCCAGATGCCACAGGGGGAGGGGCCAGGTGCTCAGGGGCAGCGGGAGGAGCAGGGCACACAGGGTCCCTCCCGGCTACGCCCAGCCCATGGCCCTGGCAGTGCGGCCACGGGCCTAGAAGACAGGTCCCTGGCTCGGCCCCTCGGCCCCCGCCCCGGAGGCAGCGGAGGCGGTCACAGGGCTGTCGGAGGCTGGGACCACGGCCCCACTGGAGGGGCGGGAAGAACCTTCCAGCAAGAGTGCGGCTGGGCCTGGGCCCGCTGGCCACCGTCCTCCCTCCCTCAGTGCTGTGGGCAGCGCGGCCAGGGGCGGGGCAGCTCCAGGAAGGTCCGGCCTCACGGTGTGCCTGGCGGTGTGGACAGCAGGGGGAGGGCTCTGGGGGGCAGCTCCCAGGGCAGAGCCCCCCAGGAACGAGGCCGGAGCAAAGTGAGATCACCTGGTGCCGCCACGTTTATTAGGAGAAGCCGGCAGAGAGAATCAAATCACACCGTGAGGCTCATTAACACAGACTCAATCACCACAATTACTCTGATTTCGGGGCCGGGAGGCCCCAGGAGCCGGCCCCTCTTCTCTCCGGATCGGGCGGCCACCCCGTTCCGCCAGGCTTCCTGCCCAGTGAAGCGCTGGGGACGGGGACAGGGCCGGCCCCTCACAGTCCTCGGCCCGTCGAGTCAGCAGCTCGGAGACCGAGGCCCAGGGCCCAGGCCCAGGGGAGACGGAGGAGTCCTCTGAGCGGGGCATGGGCATCCTTTGATTGGCAGGAGCTGGGCCCGCCTGCCCTGCCCTGCCTGTCTCCTACCTGCCCCCGGCTGCCAGGGCCCGTCTAGGCTGACCTTGGCCTCCCCCTGGGAAGTGCCCTGGGCCTGCCGCCTGCCGCCTGCCATACCTGGGAGCAAGTGATGCCAGCATCCTTGCCCCGAGGGCCGCCTGACCCCGGCCACTGGGTCCCAACCACCACAAAAGCCACGTGGGCCACGGTCCCCGAGTGGAGGGTCACCGTCCCAGCCAAGGCTAGTTCCCGCCGGCAGGAAGCGGGGCCTCCGCCGGGCGGCAGCGTGGCCCACGGTGCCAGGGCCTCCCAGGAGGTGGCCCACGTGGGAGGCGGGGCGGGCTGGGGCCTCAGGACCCCTCCTCAGGGCCCCTGCGGGGCACGGTCAGCTGCTCGTAGGTGGGCAGGGCGTTGCTGGGCAGGAAGAGCTGGGCGTCGATGGGGCCCCGGCAGGGCTGCAGGGGGGCCCCGCCGCCGGGGGGCTGGCCGCCCGGGGGGCCGCCCTGGTGCAGGGCGAGGAGCTGGTGGAGCAGGTCCGTGATGAGCACCAGCCGCTGGTCTAGCTGCGTCATCTGCGGGGAGAGAGGAGGTCAGCTGTGCGTGCCGGCCGCGTGTGTGTGTGAACCGGCACCTGGCCCAGCGCCCTGGCCCCTCCCTCCGCACGCCTGGCGGCTGGCGTGGGCTCTGCCTCCGTGGTGGCACCGGGGGAGACCGCCGGGCCCCGGGGGATGGCCACACCTCCAGGGTCCGGTCCCCAGGCCAGAGGGCCGCGTCTTCGATTCCCCCAGACAGACAGGGGCCATGCCCTCAGCCCCCCAAGTGCTGCCGCGTACCCCGTTCTCGGCAGAACTGTTTGGAGGCCTGAACTGAGGTCTATACCACGCCCACCCCAGGAGAAGGCCTTGCCCACCCAACCCCACAGCCCCACCCTGGACCCATGCTGGGAAGACAGTGATGGGCTCAGGAAGGGGGGGGGAGAGGCGTGGGGGAGACCCCTGGGCGGCCCCCTCAGCCCAGGGCCTGCTCCTGCCCTGGAGGCCTGAGTGTGTGTGCGGGGCCGGCTTAGGGGCACACCGGGGCTCCCTGGCCCCACAGCCGCCTAACCGCGCAGGCCCGGCTCCGAGCACCGACCGGTTTGGCATCAATTAACGTGCCGAACGCTTTGCAGACGGAGCTGTGGTTTCGTAAATTTTCACTTGACGGCACTTGGACATGTACTGAGGCCCCAAATGTACACGTGGGTGTGGAGAGTTTGCAGGGTGCTTTTGGGGGAGGGGACGGCCGTGGTGGGGTGCAGGCAGGAGTGGGGCTGCTGGGCGTGGCTGGAGAGGCACAGGCCAGGGCCACTGGGGGGCAGGTGTGGGGGACACAGGGTGGGGCAAGCCCTGTGGCGCCTCCCAGCTCCACCCCAAGGCGTGCCCCCACGGCCTGGGGCCTTGTCCCTGTCTCCTCAGCGGCCGATCCCACTGCCGTGTGTGGCCTGAGCCGTGGCCGTGCAGGCCCCGGCCAGCTCTCCTGTTCCCACTCAGGGAAACACCACACCGCTGCCCATCGCTAAGGAACTGTTTCCCGAGGCGGCACGTGGTCTTCGAGGACAACCCTTCGTTTCCCGGGTTATGTATCGCCTTTAGGTTTTGCTGAGCCTTTATGTATAATATACATTTATATTATTGACTTTTTACAGAGAGAAAAGGAGAGGGATTGAGAGCTAGAAACATCGGTCAGCTGCCTCCTGCACGCCCCCCACTGGGGATGTGCCCGCAACCAAGGTCCGTGCCCTTGACCGGAATCGAACCCGGGACCCTTCTGTCTGCAGGCCGATGCTCTATCCACTGAGCCGCACCGGCCAGGACTTTGCTGAGCTTTCGATGCACCTGTCGGGAGCTCATTCTCAGACGCTCGTCCAGCATCACAGACTCCTCTCCCTCCTGCCGAGAGTACCAGCGCCTGCCAGCTGCCTTCTCCTCCTGGAGGCTCTTCCTGGTGTCCCTCGAGCTTCCAAAGGGCAGCGTGTGGAGGCCAAGCTTCCACGGCGCAGGACGGAGCGCGGGGCTGGGTATGGAATGCTCCCCTCGCAGAGCCCGGAGGCTGCCTCCCCCCGCGAAGGCTCTGGTGGCCGCCCTGTGGCTCTCACGCTCTTTCTCCCTGGACACGGGGGTGGCCGGGCCCCCGAGGGCCTTCTGGGGAGCGAGGAGAGGGGAGGGGAGGGAAGGGAGGGGAGGGACCTTACGGTCTAGCCCAAAAGCGTTCGCCGAGTCCCCTTTGTTTTTTATCACGAAAACTTATCCCTCACCCACAGCTGCTCCTGGTGTCCCCAGTACGGAACCTCTCAGGTTCAGCTCCTCTGGGGACTGAACCTCCGTCGTGGGTGGGGCTGGGACAGACAGCACCGGCGTCAGAGGCCGGGGTGTCTGGGGGCCGCTGCTGCTCAGAGGAGGACAGGGGCTGAGAGTTGGACTGGGTGGAAGTCTGGGTGGGAACGGTTTCTCTCCTCTCTCTGCTGTGTGCTGGCTCCCTCCGCCCCGGCCTGCCCGGCGTCCGGGCTGGGAGCTGTCCTGTCCCCGGCTCTCGCTCCCTCCTCCTCCAGCCTCTTGCCGGCCCTCCCTGGTCTCCACGGCCCTTCCGCCCCCGTTTCCCAGCTCTGTCAGCACCGTTTGGCTTCTCGCTCGTCTCTGTGCTCCGTGGGCCCGGCCAGGAGTGCGGGCGGACAGGGGCGGATTTGCCGTGTTATCCAGGGGCTGTGCAGCTTCTGCCCCCGGCCCCAGGGCTCCCGTTACCGTGGCCTCGCAGTGGTCACGTCCCCCTCTTCTCTCCCGACTGCCCCGATGTCCGGAGGGCGGCCTCGCCTCCTGCCCACCACGCTCGGGGTCTCCCCACGGCCCCCCACGGCCCCTTTGTCCACTGGCCACCGTGTGGGGGAAGGGGGGCTCCCTCTGCTGCTGCCCTCACCACTCCCACATGCTGGTGTCTCGGGAGCATCTGGACCGGCAGCGCCCCCCGGAGATGGCAGCGTCTGCCGCGCACGCCCAGGTTCTGCCGGAGCCCGTCCTCCCGGCCCCCCGCCCGCAGCAAAGGGGCGCGCGGAGGGAGCCGCTTTCCCAGGGGCCCTTGCGGCGAGGTGGGGGCCGTTCCATTCTGGTCAGTGGAGGAAAGGGGGGGCCGGCAGGGGGGCAGCTTAACCTCTGTGCAGCCCTCGCCCCCTCCCGTGGCGGCCACGGGAGCGGCCACGGGAGCGGCCACGGGAGCGGCCACGGGCAGGGCCTGTGCTGCAGCCGGTGAGACGCAGGGAGGCCGGGGGTGCGGGGGCCGCGCTCCGACGCCTGGGCCCTGAGCGCGCCCCTCGGCCGGAGCCCCGGGGAGGGGGCACAATCCTCTTGACCCGGCGACACCGACGGCACCGGCTCCGCAGCAGCCGGGACCAGCCCTTCGTCCGAACCGCCCGCGCCCCCCGCCGAGGGCCTCGCCGGGACCGCTCTCCGGGCGCCGGGCGCCCACCGGCATGTCGTGGGCGGGGAGGGGAGGGCGAGGGCTCGGCGCCGGAGCGGGCCGCCGGCACGGCTCCGCCCTCGCCCGAGAGCCACGGCCTGGGCATCGCGGAGCCGGACGCCGTCCGCGGGCCGGACCTCGCGGCAGGCACGTGGCACCGACGCCGAAGGCCGGCGAGCGGGGCCGTGGCCGTGGCCTGAGCGGGGCGGGCAGGGGGGGAGAGACGTCCACGGAGAGAAACCAGCCTGTGCCCCGCCCGGTCTCCGGCGCCGGGACACCCCTCCTCGCCCCCTCGCCCCCGCCCTGTGCGCTGGGCAGGAGCACGGCCCTCTGGGCGGCCGGCGGCCCTTCCTCCGTCCGGTCCCTGCAGGCTCTGCTCCCACGTCACCTCCTCGGGGACCCCGTCCGCCACGGCTCCTCTCACCGCCAGCCCTTCCCCGTCTGGGGCTCAGCACCGCCCCGCCCCACCCCCGCCGGCTCCGCCGGCTCTGCCTGCGCTTCCTGAGGAAGGGGCTGGTGGCCGGGCCTGGCGCCGCTCCAGGCGCACAGTAGGTGCTCCTGCCGCTGGTCCCCGGTGGAGGCGGGGCTGGGCCCTGAGCGGAGGGGCGCCCGGGGGACCCCAGCCACCCTGCACCCGGCTCTGCTCCCCAGGGCCGGGGTGGCAGGCTGGGCTGCGGCCAGAGGCATTTCCATGGGAGGGGCGCTGGGCTGCACCCCCTCCCGGGACCGGCAGGGCAGGGGGGGGGGGGGGACGGGCCCAGGGCGGGGGGGGGGGGGGGGGGGGCTGGCGGCTCGGCACGCGGCTCTCCGGTTTCCGTGCCTGCCTAACCGCACAGCCGTTTCCATCTGCGCTGCCAAGCGCGCTGCCGGCCCGGCCGGCTCCGATCCTCGGCGAGGCCGCTCCCTGCCAGGCAGCCCGGGGGCGGGGGCGCGGGCCGCAGGGTAAGCTGCCCATGCCCGGGCTCCACTGCCCTCGGAGAGTCCGCTGCGGCCGGCGCCCCCGCCCCCGGTAATTACTCAGGCCGTGGGCGTGCGCCAGGCGTTAGGTAACGGCTGCATGCCCCCGAGAGCCATAACTCAGGCCCTGCACATGCTCGCAGACAACAAAATCGCTTCCAGGACAGGGGAGCGGGCCTCGGGGAGAGGGTCCGGCCAGGAGAGGCAGGCCGGGCGGGGGGAGGGGCCCCAGGGGTGCAGCCTGGAGCGTGGGAGCGGGAAGCATCCGAGGAAAGAATGCGTCCGCCGCTCGCCGGCCCCCACACGCCCCACGCCGCTCGCGGCCACCCTGAAGGCGGTCCTTCCTGACGAGCCCGCGGGGCATGCAGGGCTCACCCACTGGGCGCCCGTCCGCTCCCGCAGAGGCCCTCGCCCTCCCGGCCGCGCCACACGCTCCCCGGCCCCTGGGCCGCGTGGTGCAGGCAGCCAGGGGTCATCTGCTGAAGATGGGACCTCTCCCTCACTGCATGAGGCAGGCGCCCGGGGCCCTGGCGGGCACACCCGAGGCTGGCACGGTGGACGGGGTCCCCTCCCCCTCAGGACCCATCGCCCAGAGGGAGCTGAGCAGAGTGGGCAGAGGGTGCAGACCCTGTGGGCTGGGAGGGCCTGCCTCACCCGCCCTGGGGCCACAGCCCGCATCCAGGGAACCCCATCCCGGCCTCTCCCCGCCCTTCGGCATTTTCTCCTCCGGTGGCTCTGGGGAGGAGCCTTTGCCAGGAGCCCGGCTGTGCCCACGTGCAGGCCCGTGTGGGCGGTGGAGCTGGCCCCTGGCACACCCTGCCCCTGCCCCGAAGGCCCCTCCTCACAGCACCGTGTGCCCCTCGGAGCCCTGGTGACAGGCGTGTGCCACGTCCCGCTGGGCGCAGGTCGGGCGGGTCCGCGTGGAAGAGATGGCGGCGCTGAGTCAGACGGAGCCCAGAATCCCACATGGCCGTTCCCGCCCGGCCCCTGGCCCCGGGGGTCCTGCCTCGGCCCCCAGCCTCCTGCCCATCGCCTTGTGCCCCCGGCCTCCACGCGGGCCCGGCTCCAGCATCAGTGCCAGCTCCGCCCTCTCCTGTGAGCTCACACCTCACTCCCCGCGGACGCCTGATCGCCAGCCTCCGCCCGCTCCTGAGAGAATGCCCACAGCTCCCTGGCTCCTCCTGGGACCCCCCCTCACCCCGAGCCCCACCACCCGCCTCCTCCGTGGTCCTGCTCCCTCCTCCCAGGACCCGCCCTCCCCCTCCCCGTCTCCCGTCCCCAGGGTCCTCCCACATCCCAGCCAGACAGTGCGCTGCGGGGAGATTAATTATGTGAGTGTGAGTGAGTGAGAGTGTGAGAGTGTGTGTATGTGTGAGTGTGTAAATGTGTGTGTGTGAGTGTGTGTATGTATGAGTATGAGAGTGTGAGTGTGAGAGTGTGAGTGTGAATGTGAGTGTGAGAGTGAGTGTGAGTGTGTGTGAGTGTGTAAATGTGAGTGTGAGTGAGTGTGTGAAAGTGTGTGTGTAAATGTGAGTGTGTGAGTGAGAGTGTGTGTATGTGTGTATGTATGAGTATGAGAGTGTGAGTGTGAATGTGAGTGTGAGAGTGTGAACTTGCCAGTGGTTGTGTGTGTGTGTGTGACTGTGAATGTGAGTGTGAGAGTGAGAGTGTGTGTGAATGTGTGTGTGAATGTGTGTGTATGAGAGTGTGTGTGTGTGTGTGAGTGTGTGTGTGTGTGTGTATGTGTGTGTGAGTGGGAGTGTGAGAGTGAGAGTGTGTGTGTGTGTGAGTGTGTGTGTGTGAGTATGAGTGTGTGTGTGTGTGTGTGAGTATGAGTGTGTGTGTGTGTGTGTGTGAGTGTGAGTGTGAGAGTGAGAGTGTGTGTGTGTGTGTGTGAGTATGAGTGTGTGTGTGTGTGTGTATGTGTGTGTGAGTGTGAGTGTGAGTGTGAGAGTGAGAGTGTGTGTGTGTGTGTGTGTGTGAGTATGAGTGTGTGTGTGCGTGTGTGAGTGGGAGTGTGAGAGTGAGAGTGTGTGTGTGTGTGAGTGTGTGTGTGTGAGTGTGTGTGTGAGTGTGAGTATGAGTGTGTGTGTGTGTGTGTGAGTGGGAGTGAGAGAGTGAGAGTGTGTGTGTGTGTGAGTGTGTGTGTGTGAGTATGAGTGTGTGTGTGTGTGAGTATGAGTGTGTGTGTGTGTGTGGGAGTGTGACCTGCTGGTGAGTGTCAGGGGAGAATGGGTGCTCTGGCAGCTTAACCGGGAAAAGGCCACTGTGGCCTCGGCTGTGCCGTCCCACGGGGGCAGGGGTGGGGGCGGAAAGGAGGGTGGGGAGGGGCAGCTACTAGGCAGGGCCCGATGGCCCCGGACCTGCTGGCGGGATTGCTTGGTTTGTCACCTCCCACGTGGCTGTGCCCCTCCTGCCCTCCCTCAGGCCCGGGCTCCGGCCACGGACCTTCCCCTCCTCAGTCCACAAAACAGGCCCCGAGCCCGGGCCTGGTCCTCAGCCTGCTCCCCGCCCCTGTGCGGTGACCCCGCTGGCTCAGCCCCTCCCAGGTCTCCCTCGGAGCCGCTCCCATGTCTGGGGAGACGGGCCTCCTGGGTGCGCCCTCCCCGGGCGGCTGGGCCCGGTGCTCCCTGACCGAGCAGCACGGCGAGCCGGCGTGTCTGAGCCGCGGGGCCCGCGCCCTGGCGCCGCCGGCAGAGCGATCCCTCCGAGCAGCCGCGCGGGGCCCTCGCCGGCGGGTGCTGCAGGACGTGCGGACGTGGTGGCTGGCGCCTCCCCTCGCTCGTCCCGCCCGGAACGGCCCTTGGACAGGGAGCTCCTTGGACGCCGCTCCCGCCTCTTGGCTGGTCTCCCCAGTTTCCATTGCTCTGTCTCTAGGCCACTTTCCGGGAGATTTACTTCAATTTCTTCTGAGTTTTTTCACTCGGCGGCATATGCAGTTCCAGGGGCGGCTTCTGGGCTCCGACGGGCCTCACCGCACCGCGTGCTGGCCGGACGGCCCCTCCCTGAGCCAGAGGAGGGGCGGGCGCCCACCCTGAGCCTGGCTCCAGCGCCAGCACCACGTCCGCGCGGCCTCCCAGCACCCCCTCTGCGAGCCTCCTTCTCCGCACGCTTTCGGGGCTCGGTGGCCAACGCCCTGGAGCCCCTGCCCTCACTGCGCGCCCCACGCCCAGCCCTGTCTGCCCGACCCTCTTCCTCTCCCTCTCCCTGCCCTCGCCCCAGCCCCGGCTCAGCCCCCGCTTCCTCGGCCGCACCAGCCAGGCCTGCTCCGTGCCACCCTCGGGAGCACCGTGCCTCTCCCGCCGGCTCCACTCGCTGCCTGCGGGGCCGCAGCTGCTTCCTGAGGATGTCTCTGCCGACTTCCCAGCCGGGGTCACAGCCCTGCTACGTGCCCGTGGCGCCCCTTCCGGCCGCCAGCCGGGGCTGACTACTGTCCCCCTCCCGGGGGCAGCCCAGGGGCAGGGCTTGCCGCCTTGCCCACGGCGTACCCTGGCGGCACCACGCCTGGGCTGGCGCCCCCATCCTGCTGCCGTGGGTAGGCCCCCCACACTCCGGACCATGCGTGGCCCCGGGCTCAGGGTCTCTCGCCGACACCAGGATCTCTGGAGGCACAGGACGGCTCTGCCTCCCGCCTCTGCCAGCGTCGGAGCTGCTGCCGGCCTGGCTCACGGCTGCCCCGCCAGCGCCCTGTCCCTCTGCACCTCGCCCCCATGGAGGCCCTTCCCGCCTCTGACCCTCCTCCAGGCCCAGTGAGGTCCTGGGGCACCCCGGCCATGCCTGTCTCCATCCCGACCCGATCCTGTCTCCATGCCTGTCTCCATCTCCATCCCGGTGCACGAGGCCCAGCTGGGGCTGCTCAGGGATGGGTGCTCAGGGATGGGTGCTCCAGGCCGGTCCAGGGCTGGGCACGGCTCCGAGGGACGCGCCTCCTGAGGAGACGCCGCGGGCCCGGGAGGTGTCGTCCGGGGGGCGAGGGAGGCCAGGGCAGGTGGCCGAGAACTGCCCTGGATGACAGGGGCAGGGAACAAGGACGCCAGGGGCCATGGACGCCGGGGCCGGGGGGCCTGTCCTCCCAGGGCTCGGCCTGGCGTCTCCTCGGCTTCCCGGGGACTCTCCTTTGCTCGAGCTCAGGCCCAGTGGCCTCCATCCCCTGAGCCCCTCAGCCTGGGCCGACGCCTGCCGTCTGAGCAACAATTCAAAGCACAGGGCCCCCTCCCCGGACCGCGTGAGCGCCTCGGCTGGGGTTGGCCTGGAGGCCCGGGGGCACCGTGCTCCCCAGACTCGCCCGTGAGTCCTCAGCCCCACACTCGCTCTGCACAGCACCCGAGGCACAGCCGGAAGCAGGGGCGTGCTGCCCGCCCCCCCCAGTCACAGGAGCTCACACCCCGAGAGAGGAGTCACCGCAAAGTGAGGCCCCCCCCCCCCCCGGAGGAGAGCCCCTGCTGCCGGCGAGGTCACCCTGAGGAGGCTTCAGAGTAGGTCAGAGCTGCGAAGGGTGGGCGTCTGCAGGAGGAACGGAGGCCTCAGACCTGAGCACCCCTGGGGAGAGGAAGGAGGGAGGAGGAGAGGCGAGGGGGTGGTGGCTGGAGGTGCCAGGCGGCGGTGAGGGAGGGGAGGGCGCTCACACGCGGAGCAGAGGGACGAGGAACCCTCCGCGCCAGCAGCTCCCCGAGTGGAGACATCCCAGTGGGAAAACCAGAGAAACGGCACAGCCCGCCCGCACGGCCCCTCCGTCGACGGGAAGGCCCTCCACACGGCCCGGAGCCCAAGGAGAAGCACAGCCAACAGCCCAGACCTCGGGGGGAAATGGGAAATTAGGAACAAAGAGAGACGCGCAGCGCTGGTACACCGGGAAGGTCAAAGAATGTCGCTCTAAACAAGAGCAAAAAGAAGATAAAATAGGAAGTAAATTCATCTAGAACAGATCCACTGCGAGAGCACAACATACCAGAACCTGGGGGTGCTGCCAACGGGTGTGCAGAGGCACGCTGGCAGCCGTTTCAGAAAGCCAGAAAGGTTGGAAATGAACAAGCTAAGCTCTCCACTCAAGAAGCAAAAAAAAGGACACGCAAATGAACAAACACATAAATGAACACATGAGTAAGAAAGGATAAAAGAGGAAAAATGGTTATGAAAATGGAGTTGGTCAATAAAACCAAATGCTGGCTGGTTTTTTAAAGAAAATATATCTTATTAATTTTTGCAGAGAGGAAGGAAGAGGGACAGAGAGCTAGAAACATCAATGAGAGAGAAACATCGACCAGCTGCCTCCTGCACACCTCCTACTGGGGATGTGCCCACAACCAAGGAACATACTCTTGACCAGAATTGAACCTGGGACCCTTCAGTCCACAGGTTGACACTCTATCCACTGAGCAAAACCGGTCAGGGCAATGCTGACTGTTAGAAGAACAAATAAAATAGATGAATGTTAAAGAAGCAATGAAACAAAATTTAGGAGTGAAAAGAGAATAGTAACCACAGATATAGGGTGAATGACCAAGTACCGTATTTTTCGGACCATAAGACGCACTTTTTTCCCCCCAGAAGTGGGGGGAAAAAGTCCCTGCGTCTTATGGTCCAAATATAGCCTACACATAGACTTTAAAAAAAAAAGTTTTTTTACTTGCCCGGCTCTGTGTGGTCTCTGTGTGCTTGCCTGGCTCTAAAATGGTTCTAAATGCTGCTGTTTACTTTACAGGGTTGATTACATGTGTTTATGACTGTGATGTTGGGTTTTAATGCACATAAAATATTTTAGGACACTATTTGTTTCAGAATCTTTTTTTCTTCATTTCCCTTCTCTAAAAACTGGTGTGTCTTATGGTCCGGAGCGTCTTATGGCCCGAAAAATACGGTAATTGTGATTATGATTTTTTAATCTGATGTCCATAAAATTCAAAATTTGATATAATGGATAATCTCAAGGAAAAATAAAAATTACATCCCAAGTGACTTCTGAAGCAGAAAATCCTAATGAACAGGAACCCAATGGAGAAATGGAAATGATCGCCTGCCCCGCTTTTTGGGAGCGCTTTCTGCCATGCTCTCAGTGAGCAGGTAACATGGGCCCACACAGGATGCTTCGGGGCACAGGCCAAAGTGGGATGCGGCCCAGCTCATCGCAAGAGCCAACACCAGGCCCCAAATGGGCAGAAAATCCTAGGCAGGCCACGCCCGGTCACAGACACAGAGGTGCAAACACTACGTTGTGTAGAAGCGAGGAATCCAGCAGCCCAAGAGCGTCCTGACTGTGTGAATCCCTGGAATGCAAGTTTGCCTCCGCCCTAGGCTGTCCGGCCGCTGGGGCGTGGCCAAGCTGGCTCCTGCTGCCTCAGGGGCCTCAGGTCCTCAGAGGCCTCCTGCTGGTTCCCTCGAGGCCCCTCATGCTCCTCCTTTTGTGACACTCACGGCAGCCCCCTCGGTCTCGATGCACACACACCTACGATAAAGTGTGATCCACACACGAGCCCAGTACGAGGTTACTGACAATGTCACTGACATGGGACGTTCCATCAGGCGCTGTAACACGGAATGTGACTGTGGTCTCCCCGCCCCGGTCCTCTGTACAGGTCTCAGCCACACCTGCTCCTGAGGGGGTGCGGCCGGCCCTCCCTTGCAGAAATGGTGTCACTTGTTTGGGGGGAACGGGGTGTCCCTGCCGAAGGCTTCCTGTAGGCTCAGTGCTTCTAGAACAGCACAGCGCTGTCCGTCGGACGCGCTTCTTGTCTGTCTCTCACCCACAAACGGTTTTCCCACTCAAACTAGGCACGTCTCACACGTCTCTTTCTCTCCTCACAATCTCACCACAGACCCCCGAGACCTCAGGTTTCTTCCTATATCAAGAAGGTTCATCTTTTCCCTTATTATTATTTAAAAAATACACACACACACACACACACACACACACACACACACGGAGTGGCCAGATTATGATGACCTCCGAATGCATAATAATCTGGCCACTCAGTGTACATCTCATCTAATAATAGACACACATGTAAATTGACCATACCCCCACCCTGCCCACCAGCCAATCAGAGTAAGTATGCAAATCAACCCACCAAAGATGGCAGTTAATTCGCATACACAGGCCCTCAGCAAAGGGGATGGTGGGGGTGGCATTTTTCCGCCCCACCTCCCATCTCTCAGGGCCTCTGGGCAACGTGGGGAGGCAGGACAGAGCGAAAGAGGCGGCTCTGGGGCCAGAGGAGAAAGGCAGTGCTGGCAGCCAGGAAAAGGAAGGCCCATTACTGGGCTCTAGTTTGTATGTGTCAGAGGCCCGGTGCCTGAATCCGTGCATGGGTGGGGTCTGGCCAGCCTGGCCGGGGGGAGGGGACATGGGTGGTTGGCCAGCCTGCCTGCTGGTCAAACTCCTGGTCGAGGGGACAATTTGTCTATGAGCCTTTTATTCTATAAGACAGACACAGAGTGGCCAGATTAGTATGCGTCATCTGGCCGTGTATTTATTTATTTTTTATCCTCACCCGAGGATGTTTTCCCATTGCTTTTTTTTTTAAAGGCGAGTGGAAGAGCGGGAAAAACAGAAACATCGATGTGAGAGAAACACACCAATTGGTTGCCTCCTGCACACGCCCTGACCAGGGCCTGGGCCAGGGAGGAGCCTGCCATCTCCTTGACCAGAATTGAACCAGGGACCCTTTGGCCTGCAGGCTGACGCCCTAGCCACCGAGCCACACGGCCAGGGTTCCTTTTCCCTGAAAGGAAGTGCCTTCCGGCTTCCCTGGGCGACTCCAGTCTTCAGTGTGCCCGCGGCCGGGACCCGATGGCCCAGCAGCGGGGGTGGGGGGGCGTCTGTAGCCCGGAGGCACAGGACGGGGGGGGGGGGTGCGTGGACACTCGGCGTTTGGGTGGGATATAGCCGGGCATCCCAGATGTCATCACGCGACTCAGAAGGGCGCACGATGGAAACTGTAAAGGCTTATCTGGAAATTTCCTTTTCGCGATTTAGACCACGGCAGGCCACGGCGGGCCATGGTGACGCCTCGGCGGGGCGCTGCCCGTGTGCTGTGTCCTGAGGCCGTCTCTTCCTCCCAGGCCACAGCCCGGAGCCGGAGTCTGCCGTCCGGGCCGCACGGACACCGGGGGATCTTTTCTTTCTAAAATACGTGGTTTTTTTAAAATTGATTTTTGCAGAGGAAGGGAGAGGGGGGAAGAGACAGATACATCTGTGATGAGACAGGATCACAGATCGGCTGCCTCCTGCACGCCCCACACTGGGGATGGAGCCCACAACCTGGGCCTGTGCCCCGACCTGGCATCGAACCCTGACCTCCTGGTTCCTGGGTGGACGCTCAGCCCTGAGCCCCCGGCCGGGCGGGCGGGGCTGGTCTTTCTGACGAGCAGGAGACGCCTGAACCCTAACCCTAACCCTAACCCTAACCCTGAGCTGGAACTGGGAGCCCAAGAGGAGGGGGCTGGCGGGGCTGGGCAGCCGCTGGGCCACTGCCGAAGGCGGGGCCAAGCCCTCCGGCCCCTGCCTGCCAGCGTGGAGAGGCCCCGGTCCCCGGCACGGCCCTGCGGGGGGCGGGGGGGCAGGAGAACAGCAAAGCCAGGCTGTCTCCCGCAGTTGTGGGACACGTGTTGGGGCGGCTGTGCTGGCAGCTGAGCCCCCGGGGCCCGGGGGGCATCGGGCTGGGCGGGGGGCTCCGAGCAGCTGGTGCGGACAGCCCGCGGCTGACAGGTGGGCGGAGGGGGGGCTCGGCAGCTGGGCCGGCGACAACGAGCGGGCGGGCTGCCCTCGGCAGATCCAGCCCCGGAGCTGTGTGTGCGCGTGTGTGCATGGGTGTATGCGCACATGGGTGTGGGCACATGAATGTGTGCGTGTGTGCATGGGTGTATGCGCACATGGGTGTGGGCACATGAATGTGTGCGCGTGTGCATGGGTGT